TTTGCCCCCCTCCCCTCCATCCTCCATGGCTTGCTCAGGAATCAGTGTTGCCACTAGTTATGCTAATCTTGTTCTGTGTTTTTGGTTTTTTTTTTTTTTAAAGATTTATTTATTTATACAAGCACTGGGTACAGTCAGAAGCGCGGGAGGGTGAGAGAATTCACCAGAGCCAGAGTGGGGAGCAGAGCAGGCAGAAGGACCGAAGTACACTGCTGAGGGGAGCAGTGGGCGGCAGGAGAGGTCTGCATGCCATGTGGGACCCTCACCCGGTGGCTGGGGATCGAACCGGCACTGCACAGGCTGTGGGCAGCTTCACAGCCCAGTGCTCAACCCCTGCGCCGCCAGGGGAGGCCCTTGTTCTGTGTCTTGTTGCTGTGATACTCCCAAATGTGACATTTGGGGCCCCGCGCTGTGAAATGTGGGTGCTGCCAGGGGCCGTTACCCGACAGAGGGTGTGCTCGCCGTGGGCCTAGCTGGTCTTCCTGGGCCTCACATTCGGTGCTCTCGCTCTTTCCGTGATGTTATTTTCACTCCTTGATGTTCTGTTGACTGATCGCGAGACCTTCCTTCCCTCCTGGACGAGTCTGGCATTTCTAACAGGTCCCGCCGTCCCGGTTTTTGAAGCGCTTTCTTCTGGCCAGTGGCCCTGGGGTGCGGAGTAGCCACCTCTCCCTGCCTCTGCTGTCAGTGCCACCACGCTAGGCCCTTGCTTAGAATTTTGTCCCTGTGCTCATTTCCCTCAGCCTCCATTTGTTTTTTCTTGTTTGGGTCAAGCAACGGGGTTTCACGGGTGCTGGTGCCTGGGGCAGCACCTCCGGCCATGTTCGTGGCTGAGGTCACGCGTGTGGCTTGTTTTCGTGCAGCCTGGGGGGCTCCACTGTATTGCCTCTTCTGGCAGTGGCGCCCGGTTACCTCTCCCTCAGCTCTGCTGCTGGAACTGAGTCCCCGCCCTCCAATCCTGCAGCTGCGTCGTCCCTGCTCTGATTGGGCGCCCCACCAGCGGCCTGTCGTGTCTGGCCATTCAGAACATACTTCTCTGTTTGTATCAACCTAATCAAACCAGTGAAGGGCCAAAGGGCGAGGAAGGACAGGAATGGCAAATGTCTGCCTCTGCTAGGGGCTGTCCAGGTGTTGCCAGTGCTGGGCTTTCTCTCACTAGAGTCTGAGGATTCAGGGAATGTTGCAGAGTGGGGTGCTGGGCCCTGGTGCCCGGGTCGTGTCTCCAGGGTCTCTGCCCGCCCCTGCGCGAAGCCTTGTGGGCCCTTTTCCCTGGGACGCGGCGGTTTCCTCTTAGTCTGGCTGTCTCCCAGAATCTGGTTTGGGTTTTCTACTTTGCAAAGGTCTTTTTCTTTTTTCTGCAATCCTGGCACCTGTGCTTGGTCCTGTTCTTTGGGAACTTTGTCCGGCCATTTATCCATCCAGCTGGTATATGTTGAGCTAAGCCAAGCATCACGGCCAAGCATCACACGCCAGGCCAAGCATCACGCTCCCACTGAAGCTCCAGTGGCACGCAGAAATGGAGCAGGCGCTTCTCCGTCAGGCTCGAGGACTCGCCAGACAGGGTGTCATCACAGCGAGACAGCGCAGGAGGTGCCTGTAACGGGTCTTGGTCACCCGGGGCAGGTTGGAAGTCCCGCCCCGAGAAAGTGGAAAGGGAAGATCGATGTGGCTGTGGGTGCGTTCGTGGGCCTGTTTGGGGCCCTGGGGGTGAGGCAGCGGCCTGGGCACGGGCCTGTGACGGGGCGGCACGACAGAAGCCATGAGAGCGGGGCCTGTGTGACTGGCTGAGCCGGAGGGCGAGAGGCCTCGCACGGACATGCACGGACGCGCTGGAGGGGCTCGGGGCTCTGTCCTCAGCCTGTAGCAGTGTGGTGGGTGGAGGGAAGGGAGGGGAGGCTTCTGGTTTGGAGTGGAGTGGGTGGGGGGAGGGAAGGGGCAGGCGCTACCCTGAGCTCAGCATGGAGCGAAGCCGAGGAAGGTGTCCGGGGTTCGGGCCGAGAGAGGCAGGTGGCTAAACGGCCCGCATAGTCCGTAGGGCCTATGGGCTTGGTTCTTTCTCTTTCAGGTCTGCCGTGTTCTGCAGGTTTAGGCATTCAGGTGTTCTCTAGTGCTAGTCGTTAAAAGGTTTATTTTGCTTTTTCTTACATGTACTGGTGGTTTTCACCCTCTTCCAGCAGAGCTTTCATGTTCTTTTTACTTTGTACCCTAACTTTCTCTTATTTGATAAACTGTGTATTTTAGATGTTTTCTGCTTAGTGCAGTCATGTCCCTGCGGCAGGGTGAGATTTTTCTTTGGGCCTCTCCCTGTCCTCCTGGGTTTCTGAAGGTTCTCGTCTCCTTCCCCTGCCCCCTCCCGATCTTCTTGAGCTGCTTTAGCGATTTCTCCCGCAGGTGTTGTAGGGCATTAGAGGGGAGTGTTTTTGTTGACTTTTTTCTTCCAGGTTGGTGTTTTCTTAATTGTTAGCCTATGTCCTATTTTAGTAAAGATTTGATGGTATTTCATCACATCCTCGAATGTGATTTGGGTTTCAAAATGCAGCTGGGACATAGGCAATTACGGCCTCACCCTGCCCCACCCTCCCTGGGTCCCTGGGTCTCTGGTGCGAGGCCATTGGTTCCACTCCAGTGTGACCACACTGGGGCCGATGCTGCAAGAGCACCAGGGGTTCTTTCCGGTTCTGACCAGTTCTGACCCACTTTGCAGCGAGTTTGTACCCTTGGTTGACTCGATCGCCTAGGGCTTGGGAGGGATCCGGGCTCTGCTCTCCTGGTCTACTGATCTCGTCAGCCTCATCTCTGCTGTGTTGGGGGAGCCCAGGTGCAGAGTGTCCAGAAGCAGCAGGCAGGAGGTCAGATGCTAGGAGGATGGCTGGCACGGCCCATGGTTTGGGCGGAGCAGCATGGTGAGAGGGCAGGCTCAGAAGTGGGAGAACTTTCTGGAAGGCTGTGGGTGAGTTGGGGTTTTCTTGCCAGAGGGGTTGGAAAGCCACAGAAGTTTTTAAAGTTGGGGTGGGGGTTGGGAGTGATTACAGCAGGTTTTTGTTCCGAGTCTGAGCTGCAGTGCGGGGGAAGAGGTGGCAGCGGGGAGTCGAGCAGGTGGCCTTTGCTGTGGCCACGTGGGAGATGTGTGGACGTGTGCAGAGTGGAGAGCAGCTGAGGGCTGTCCAGGCTGTTGCCAGTGCTGGGCTTTCTCTCACTCAACTCTGAGGATTCAGGGAGTGTTGAAGAGTGGGGTGCTGAGCAGCCAGTGCTAGATGCTTCCTCGAAAGCAGCCCACACCCCACAGCACATGTTGTCATGACCACAGTCACGGGTGAGAGCAGGTGACTCCCGCTTCCTGCCTCCTCCAGGAGTGAGTGAGATTCTCCCCCAGAGCCTGGCTGGACCCACGCAGCCATATCAGAGCCTCTGCCCCTTGCGAGGGAGGCAGAATTGAGCTGGATTCAGTTTAGTGAATTTCCTAAGTGAAGTGTAGGATGAAGGAGCTGGTCTCAGGGTGGACACAGGTACTCCTTGTGGGTCGAGGGCAGCAGGCCAAGGGCCCATGCAGACGGTGAGCTTTCTACTGGCCGTGTGCCTCGGAGGACCCAGGAACTGCGGGGACCTCACTCGCCTCGCCTGGACCAGAGAGGACGCGACTTCTGGTGGGAATCTCATGTCCTCAGCCCTTCACCCCAGTCAGCCACCACCTGGGTCGCTCTGGCCCTGACCCTTGATTGAGCCTGGGGGGTAGGGGGCGGAGGGTGTTGTGAGGAGTGGCTGGGTGGGTGCAGGCACCTAGTGACGTGGCCTGCAGATAAAGGCCTGAGCCCAGAGAGCATGTGGAGCCCTCTGGGACCTAAGTAGAAAGTTTTCTTCATTTCATTTCTTAATGAAATGTCGCATGTTTTTCTGCTTACTGATAATCCCTTCTAATTGCCCATAATCCCTGTGGGTTGCTGAGCTCTCCCCAGGCCTAGAGTTGTCTCCACCTCTGCCCCTGGGTCAGGGCCACCACACCTGCCACACTGGGCCTGGCAGAGGAAAGGCAGGTTTTACTGGAATATACCTGGAGTACTAACCGTTGCAAAGAGTCATATCCTGCCCGTTTTTAAAGGTACTGTGATCCTTGAGTGTCTCCTGGCCCTCCCTGCCTCTCACCCTGACACTACCTGCTCCAGCCAAGTCCACTCTTCAGGCTACTCACCAACCCTGGTCTTCGTGGGCCCCTCATCTGGAGGCCTGTCCCCCCCAACCATCTCCAAGGGAGGGGTCCTATGAGATCTTCCTGTTTCCACTGGTCGGAAGGGCATGTTGCCACCTTCTGCTCCCCAGGGCGGTGGCTGCCTTACTTGGCTGTACCCAGGCACCCTTAGGAACTTAAAAAAAACCCTAAGTGTTCCTGGCACCATCTCCACAGATGAGTGAGTCTTCACCACTTTCCCTGACTCCCAGGTGCAGCCACGTCTGGACCACTCGTGTGATATTGTGTCAGCACAGGCTCCTTGGTGACCCGTGCCCTTGCTCGCTCCTGCTGTCCCCAGAGCCCGGCCCTGCACCGGGCCTGCGAGGGAGCGTGAGATGGCAACTAGGTCCTGCTTATTAGCTTTGTGTCCAGAGAGAGTGTTTGGCGAAGCTCTGCTGAGCAGCCTTGGCCCGCGACCTTGGGCTCCATCCTGACTGTGTCAAGTACCTGCACCCGTGACCTTGGGCTTCGTCCTATCTGTGTTGAGTACCTGCGCCCATGACCTTGGGCTTCGTCCTGTGTCGAGTACCTGCGCCTGTGACTTTGGACTCTGGCCTGTCTATGTTGAGTACCTGCGCCAGAGCTCCGGGTGTGGGGCGAGTGGGGCCAGGAGGATGCTGGCAGTAGCTCCGGGGCTGGGGCTCCTTGTGCTGCCCATGTGTCTTGGTGCATCTGGCCACAGGAGCCCTGCGCGTCACCCCAAGGCTGTGGGAGAGTCTAACAGCACACCCGGGTATGGCAGCAGCATTGAAGAAATCAAACAAATCAGCTGGAGAAGATGCATGTTTCAGAAAAACTCACTGTCCCTTCTTTCAGCAACCATCACATCAGGTGGCAGGTTCCCTACTGGGTACCTGAGGGTGGACGGAGGCGGGGTCACGTCTCATAGCCTGGAGCCTTGAAAAGAAGCATTAGGGTCCCCATGATGCTGTGACAGAAGAGCAGTGAGGACGACATTGGGGTCACTTTGGGACGTGGAGTGGCAGGGCCTTGGTGCAGCCCCCCACCTGCTCACTTAGCTCCTAGAGCACTGGGGTCTAAGTGGTGATTGTGAAGGAAATTTAAAGTAGGACGACATGGCCCCACGGAGCACAGCGGCCTCCCTTCACACACTTGCCCCATGCCACATCCCTGCCCGACTTCAGGGCTGGCCACGGCCTGTGGTGACAGCGGCAGGTATTTATTGTGTCCGTGTGTCATCGTGGATCAGTTAGACTGATCTTTTACTCACGGGTGGCATTAGGGGCTCAGGCTGTTTTTGGTTTTTCTCTTGGAGAGACAGAAGTCCCCTGCCCACGGTGTCAGTGGCCACAGCCAACTGTGACCTGAGAGCACTGTGGGTGGCAAGGTGTTGCTCTGAGAGCAGGAGACCAGCCACAGCCACGTCGTTTACCACAGCGCACTGCTGTACTTGTTCTCTGTCGTTATGGTTATTGTTGCTGTCTCTTACTGTGCCTGATTTCGAGATGAACCTTTATCGTATAGCATATGTGTGTGAATATGTGAGAAACAGGACCACATAGAGGTTGGCACCGTGCGTACTGGCATGTTCTGGAACACACCTGGTGAGAAAGGCACGGCTGCACTGCTGGAGCGGGCCCCTGGCTTGCAGGGGGGTGGGGGTGGTTTTTTTTCTGTCTGTGGTTGTAACTCCCTCCCCCCAAGTTATCCGGTGGGTCTATCTCACAGGATCCAGAGTCTCACAAGGCTTATCGTGAAAAAGGTCTTCTCTGCTAGTTGTGACTTAGGGAAAGTCAGGCCGCCTTTCTGAAACTCAGTTTTCTCTTCTCTGAGTGGGGATAATACCAGAATCCACCTCGCAGGCTTGGGCCTGGCCAGGAAAGCACAGTTTCCTGCTTTCATCTCCCACCACTCACCTCTGCTGGCCAGGGAGATGGAGCTCGACGTGCAGCACCAGGCAGTGACCCACTGATGGGAAATGCGGAGGATTTCAGGTGAGGTCAGTCGCAGTGTTAGGAAGTCGCACCTGCAACCAAAGAGTGGGTACCGGGAAGTTAACAGCCTCAAGAGTTTTGAGGTAATAACAGTGAAAATGGGAAAAACAGGAGGGAAACCCAAACGTGGTTAATACTGTAAGTAGGATACCTTTGTTTAATTATCTCACTTTCCGTTACAGTTGGGTGTCCTTCACATTTTATTTTCCCTGATTTTATTAATTGTTGCCCAAAAAATTCTAAATAAAAAAGCAGCTGTGGAATGGATTTTAGTTGTGTTTTTAGTCGGCCTCAGCCTATCTGCCTGGCCTGGGTCTGGTCCAGTGAATGGGCCTGGCCAGCAGGCGTTGGCCTGGGGTGGCGCTGCTCCTTCGCCGCAGAGTCCTGACCTTTGTCCAGCGTCACCATTGGCTTTCCTCCTCTGTTTGCTTGGAGCGCAGCTATTTCCTGGGCAAAACCCCTTGCCGGGCCCTTGGCTCAGACCGAGGAAAGCTGGATGTATAATCTGCACGTTTCCTGGCCGGGGAGGCGCTTCCAACGTCTGTGACTGCAGGCCTGGATCTGGGTTGGGGGGGTCCTTGTGGGCTGGGGTGGTTCCCAGTGTCAGTCTGACAGTGAGAAGCCCCACAGACGGGAGCCCACCTGGATCCTGCTCCAGCCAGGCCTCCAGGGACCCCACCCCTGTCCCAGCGGTGCCAGGTGTCCCCCTCCCGGCGGCGGCACAAGGACACCCCTTGGTGGTGGGGCCAGTATCAGGCACACAGTAGGTGTTCAGGGGCTATAGGCTCTGGTGCCCACTCATGCCTGGGAGCACAGAGTGGGGCTGGGGGGCAGCCATGCAAGGAAGTGAAGCCCGTGAGCCCAGCCTTCATGGCCGCCCTGTGCCTTGGGGAGCAGGCAAAGGCGGGCGTTGAGCCAAGCGGGTGGCTGTGTTTGCCAAGTGCGGGGTGTCGCTGAAGCCAGTACCTGCCTCCGTGACACACGGTGCCCACAGAGCCAGGCTGCGGCTGCTGCAAGCCTCGGGATCGGGATTTGAAGTCCTTCTGGTGGGCTCTGGCGCCCGGAGAGGGCCTGGCGAGCGGGAGGCGGCGGGGTGCCTGTCGTGGGCACTCGCGGGGTTGCGTCGGGCCATGTCAGTGCCGGGCGGGTCGCATGTGGGAATCCTGGGTGAGGGGGTGTGTGAGCACTTGTGCACTTGTCGCTGTAGTGAACAGGCATAAAGCATGCGTCTCATTGCGTCCACAGATGACAGGCGCGGACAGGAGGTGTTGGAGACGGTGGTAGGACTGTGGGCCTCTGTAGGGGGGCAGCGCTTAGAGGACGGCGGTGGGCGAGGTCTGTGGGCCTGGCTGGACTTTGTCTCAGGGCAGTTCGTACCTGCCAGGCCTCTCTATGCTCTTTGGTGCCGGGGTGTGATGGAGCCGAGGCCTGTCGCTTTATCCGAAAGTCAGGAGGGCGGTGTCATTCTGCAGGGTGGTGTGGGAAATTCTACTTCCCACCCGGAGTAACCTGGTATTTCCAAGTGGTAGGATCCTTTTATTCCCTTGAAACAATTTTTCAAGTTGAGAGAACCCCCTGCTCTGCCATGGGAAGACTGCTTTTGTTGATGTGATAACTCCCCTCCTGCAGCTGAAGAAATGAAATGAAACATCCCCCCCTTTTTTTCTGAGGGGAATAGGTTGTGGGAGCAGGTTGGGGGCATGCCTGGCGTTCAGCCGAACCCCGGGAGTGGGTGTGTGCCGTGCCCAGCAGCGGTGGGGTGGCCTGGCCACCTGGTGCCACCTTCTGTGTCGCGTGGTGGCTCACTGGTGGAGTGGATGGTTAGATGTTTGGGGAGGATGAGAAGCGGGGAGCCCTGCGTGCCGGTGCAGGACTGAGGGCGCCCTGACCGTGGAGGCAGGCCTACGGCGTGGGTCCTGATCTGCACGAGCTCCCTTCTCCCAAAGGCCCGGCCCAGGCGTCGCTGTCCTGCAGGCAGCTGCCAGCTCCCAGTGTTTTCTGAGGAGCAAACGCCATGCTTTGTGCAGGAAGTTTCTAATCTTGCCCAGGAGTGTTTGCTGTTCCCATAGCCTGTGTGCTGGGTGCCCTGCTCTGGGGGGTTAACCCGGTTAGTGATCTCAGCCCCACGCTCTGTCTCTGCTGGCAGGGGTCTTGTTGCCTTTTTGAGTTCCATTTCCTGAGGACAAAGGGTGTCAGTTTGCATGTGTTTTATTGCCCATTCGTTTGCTGCCTTGTGGGAGGGGTGTGGAGCGCCTTGCTGGTCTGGTTCCTCTCTGGCTACGTGTGCTCTTCCTTGAGGTTCGCCTTTTTCAAAGCACAGCCTTTCTCTTTGGCATGGAGTTTTTTATTTAGACTTTGACTTGAACGGTTTCTTCTATATGGGCCATGCTTATTGCGTGCCATCTAAGAAACCCTTTCTCTACCTCACTGCAGAGATTTTCTTCTAGAAGTTTTGTGCTTCTAGGCTTCCTGGTGATGATTGTGGCCGATGGGCAGTCAACTTTGCATGTGGGGCGAGCTGGGATTGATGTCACTTTTCCCATGTGGGGGTTTTCTTGTTCCGGCAGCATTTGTTGATGAGATTTCCCTCCCCGCTGCACGGGCCTGGCATGGTGATCACCCCCACTGGCCGCGGGCTGATTCCAGAGGTGGGGTCTGCCCCTTGGGCTGTGAGTCGCTCCCTGTCACTTTACAGTAAGTGTTGAAATCACGCAGGAATAAGGGCTAACTTCTTGTTTTTCTGTCTTAGTATCGGTCTGCAGTCTATGTCCTTTACATTTCATGTAAGATTTAAAATTAATGACAGTTTCCATAAAAATGATAGAAATTATAAATTGTAGAAGCTAGATGTCAATTCCTATGAAAAAGTCCTGCTGGAGTCTTGGCTGAGGTTGCACTGAGTCTGAATGCGCGTGGGGAGATCTGACTGTTTATTTAGGTCCTCTGATTTCTCAGCTGTATTTTGTAGCCTTCAGTGTAGGCATCTTTATTATCATTTGTTAGATTCATTCTGTTATAGAGCAACCCCGATATTAAACGGGTTCCTGGCTGTGGGTCCTCACCCGCGCGCTTTAAAGGGACTTATGAATACTCTACTACAGACACACACAAAAGGGTTAATAAAAGGTTTATTTACAAGAGGAAAGGAAATAAGGAAAATGTACAACTCAGGGGAAAAATAGGGAAATAAAGTCTTTAATGCGTCCTACCCGATCCGACGACCTGGAAACCCAAAGTCACTCCCAGAGCTGGCCGGAGGCTCCGCGCTGGCCGAGCGCCCCAAAATGGAGAGAGCCCCAAAGCCCACGTGTCTGCCTTTTGTATCCACCTGGCTGCTTAACCCCACCCTCAGGTCCCAGCCACCTTCCCTTTGGTGGTGATGGGATTTGGAGTTCCCAGTGTCTTTGGCTTTGACCTGGGGTGGGGGTGGAGTCCACAAAGCCTGTATGGAATTAGCTTTGGGACCGCCTTTTCCCCCTAACAATTCCTGTACTGTTTGCTTTTTGTTCCTATTAAATATTTTTCAGTTGTAGGTTGTGAATATACAGGAATACGGTGGGTTTTGTGACTTTGGAAAAATAACTTACTAGATTCCCCAGACACCCCCATTCCTGTCATCCGCAGATAGGGGCAGCTTCCCGCCGCGCCCAGAGGCCTCCTCTTCTTCTGCCTTCCTGCAGAAGCCAGGACCTCCGGAGTAAAGCTGGAGAGAGGTGGCGGGCCCAGGAGTCCTTTCTCCTCGTCGTGCCCGGAGACAAGTCGGCCTTTCTCTGTTAAGGACGGTGTTCGTTTAGACTTCTGTAGGTTACTCTTTGCCAATTTGAGAATTCTCCTTTTTGCTGAGAATTTTTATTATGAGAAAATGTTGAATTTTGTTAAATGCTTTTCTGTACCTGTTCCAGGGATCATTCCCCTCCCCCCCTTTATTTTATTGAAAGGATAAATTGGTTGATTTTTCAAATGTCCAGTTTAACGTTGTGTTCCTCCCTTCCTCCTGAGGTAGTGCCGATTATTGGGTTATAATGTATTGTTATTTCATTAAGAATTTTTGCCTCTCTATCCATGAAAGATACTGTTCTGTAATTTTCTTTCTTCCCACTCTGTCGGGCTTCCGCGCTAAGGTCAAGCTGGCTTTATAAACCTCCTGGCATCTACAGTGAGGGGTGACATTGCTTGTCCCTCGTTGGTTTTTTGTTTGTTTGTTTTTTTAAGATTTATTTATTTTTATATGAGAACCGGGGTACACGCCAGATGTGCGGGAGGGTGAGAGGATTCACTGGAGACAGAGTGGAGAACAGAACAGGCAGATTGACTGAAATCCACTGCTGAGGGGAGCAGCGGGGAGACAGGAGAGGTCTGCTGAGCCATGTGGGATTCTTCCCGGCTGGCCGGCATGGAACCTGCTCTGCAGAGGCTGTGGACAGCTTCACAGTGCGGCGCTCAACCGCCTGCGTCACCAGGAGGCCCTGTCCCTGTTTTTTGATAAAGTTTGGATTATGTCTTAAATTTTTACTTGAATTTTCCAATGAAACTGCTTGGGTGTGGGATTTTGATACTACCTTTGGAAATTTGGATGGTAAATTACAATTTTAATGGGCATAGGCTGTTCACGTTTTTTGTTTCTTATGTCTGCATCTCCGAGGGGGTCATTTCTTTCTTTTTTTTTTTTTAAAGTATTTATTTATACAAGCACTGGGTAAAGTCAGAAGCACAGGAGGGTGAGAGAATTCACCAGAGCCAGAGCAGGGAGCAGAACAGGTAGACTGACAAAACACGCTACTGAGGGGAGCAGTGGGCGGCAGGAGAGGTCTGCGTGCCATGTGGGATCTTCTCCGGTGGCCGGGGATCGAACTGGCGCTGCAGAGGCTGCGGGCGGCTTCGCAGTCCAGCGCTCAACCGCTGCGCCACCAGGGGAAGCCCCTGACGGGTCATTTCTGTTGGAGGAGAGGGTGACCTTCAGGAGGGCAGGGGCACCCTGGGGCTCTCCCCTTCCTCTGCAGCCCAGCGCTGCAGACCCCCGTGGTCACTGGAT